TGGCATAGAGGGCTTGGCATAAAAATGTGTAAATCTCTAGTTTTATCACATATTTCGTGTTCAGTCTTAATTATATGATATCAAACGCAAGCAAAAATAGTTGTTACTTGACAAAAACCACAACCAATCATGATCCGGATGTCCCCCAATTTTTCGATCAGGTTTTATGGATGGTCAGTTTGCGGATTGCCACCAGTTTGCAATCAATATACCCGACGATGTTTTGTGAACATAAATACGCTAACATTCGATTTTTGCATCTTAACCGTTTATGTTTTTATCATTTACAGTATGCAACTTTTTCTCAATTCTACTCACTAGCACATCGGCAGTTATCAATGGAGGCAGCTTTTCATAGATCCTTTGTATTCAAAACCAGAATTTTATTTTTAAAAAAACCATAAGTTAAATGTGAAACTAATTATTATAACACAGTGGAAACTCTCAATGATTGAAGCTCCATTTGCAGTCCTGGACTCGCACAACTTTGATTAGTCACTCCACACGAATTGCAAATTTCGATATTCTATATCTGAGACTATGGCTTTGCTTCGTTCAAAGAATACGTCTGACCACCAAATGAAACTCGCCGCGATCGTAAACCATATTCCGGGTCTTCAACGTTGAGGCGTTAAATAGTTTACTCCCCTGGGGTGGCAAAAATTCGGGCAAAAATGTGGTGCCACTTCAAGGTGGCTCAATAGTAGTCGGCGCGACCTGATAGACAGGCTGCCTTATATCCACGTCAAATAACAGAGTCGTTCATGTTCGCATCTGCAAAAACTCGCCATTTATCGCAAAGACTCCGTTCTTCTCCGGATTTTCTTCGCTAAAAATAATATTTTGAAGGTGAAAATAATAAACTTAACGTTTTTTTGTGATTCCACTAAACTTTAATCGTTGACACCTAAGTGGATATTTTCGGCTATAGTATTGGGTTCACTTTAGTGTAATCAGAGTCAAGCAAAATGAAGCCATTCAACCTGGCCGTCGGCATTGCAGTCAATAAATCTATATCTTTTAAATCAACTGCATATTATAACCCAAAAAGTGGCTTCTCATAGAGGGCTTAGCATAAAATCCCTGGCCTTATCGCGTATTTCGTATTCAAATTTAATTATATGATATCAAAAACAAGCAAAATACGTGTTATTTGGCAAAAACCAGAACCCCTATTTTTTCGATTAGTTTTTGTGGATTAGTTTGCGGATTGCCATCAGTTTGCATTCAGTAGACCGGAAGATGTTCTTTAAACACTAATAGGCTACTTTCGATTTTTATATCTTGACCGTTTGTGTCTTTATCGTTTACAGTACACAACGTCTTCTCAATTCTACCCTGCATCAGCTCGGCAGTTTGCACTGGAGGCAGCTTTTCATAGATCCTTTGCATCCTAAACCAGAATGTTTATTTTAAAAATTCCATATGTTGAATGCGACACTAGTTATTATAACGCAGTGGAAACTGTCCAACTTTGAGGCCCCATTTTTAATCTTGGGCCCGCACAACTATGATAAGTCACTCCCCAGAAGTAGGGAATTTAGATATGCTATATCTGAGAAATATAAAGGGCTTTATCAAACTTGGAGGCTTTCCAGGTCAGTGTTGTTAATATGACACGAAAAAAAAACTTGTGTACATGTAAACAAATTTAAAGTGAACATGCGTCACCAAGTGACAGAATGGACCACCACTGAAAAAGCATTCAACACGCAAGAATTGCTTACTTTTCCACCCTCAGCAGGACAAGGAATTACGGACATCTGCAAAACAAGTAACCTTGTCTAAAATTGCGGCAAGACTATTCTTTAGGTTATGGGGTTTAAGGTCCGGGTTACGGTTAAGGCTAGAGTTAGTGTTTAAGTTGGCACTTTTGGCTATGCATATTAAAATGATTAGTGTTAGAGTTTTGCCACGGGTAGAGGTAGCATAAGATAACCATTTTTTTCTGGAAAGAGCGTCTTACCGAAATGCCTCAAATATAAACCGCCTGTGGACACTGACCTTTGCCGACGGACGATGGCAGACTTCAAGAAGAAAATGATCAGGGTACTGATACGAGACTGCCACGCCCGCATCCACAAGTACCGCCAGATTATTAAACATCATTCGTCAACTTGCCAGTCGATCTTTATGGCACACGAGCTGGGGTCCTCAAAACGGCAATTCTCGACAGCGCACGGCGTCACAGCAAGTTTCGTGATGACCAGTTGTCTGGAAAATTTGAGAAAATAAGTCCGCCAAAGCAGCCCTCTGCGACTGTGCCTTGGTTCACAACTTGTCCTCTCATCGTTTCACTCAACAACAACTAGCGGTTCTATCCTATGACGCGAAGTTCAGCACAAGAGATGCTCGACCAGAAGACTTTATTGCATCCTTTGAATCGGCGCTCCAGAAGTGTGGGGCAGGCGATGAGTGCAAAAACGCCATGCGACAACAAGTGTCGACTTTACTCCTCCAACACAAACGCCAGATGACGATTTCTAAAGCAGAAGATCGAGAACTTCTGAAAATACGAAAAATGAAGATTATCGTCACCCTGCCCACCGACAAGGGGCACTCGACTGTCGTCATGGATAAGGTTGAGTTCTGCACAAAACTAGGCAACCTCTTGATGGACAAGGAAGCTTATGTGCCATCGACCGTCAGCGAGGTTAAAAAGCTCGTAAACAGCATAAACAATACGATCGGCAAGCTGAGGAAGGCGGGAGCTCTTACGAGAAGGGAAGCGTTGGCCGCAAAAGCCAGTGATACCGCGATGGCGCGCTTCTACGGCCTACCAAAGGTCCACAAGCAGGGGATGCCGCTACGCCCCATCGTCTCCTTACGTGGTACTCCAACCTTCGGGATGTCAAAGTGGCTGTACCAGCGACTTTGTTTCCTTACCAAGGATTCGGAGTGGACAGTGACGTAGGCTGAAGAGTTATTGACGCGCATCAAACATCTCGAGGTGGAGGCAGATGAGGTGATGGTGTCATTCGACGTGATCTCATTATTCACCTCCATCCCACCCGCGCTGGCTATCGACACTTTTGATGGCTTTCTCCGGGAAAAGTATGATGAGACCGACCAACAGCTCAAACGAGCACACATCATCGAGCTCCTAGAACTGTGTCTTAAGACCTTCTTTACATTCAACGGCCAAGTCTACGAGCAAAAGAAGGGGACACCGATGGGCTCGCCTCTGTCTGGACTAATTGCCGAAGCAGTTTTGCAGAGACTCGAGCAGCAGGTCTTCAGCTCGTACCCCCCGAAGTTCTGGGCCAGATACGTCGACGACACGTTGGTTGCAATCAAGAGGAGCGAGGTGAAGGCTTTCAAGGCATTGTTGAACTCCATCTTTCCCGATATTCGGTTAACTATAAAAGAGGAAGTCAACAAGCAGTTGCCCTTCTTGGACGTACAATTTACAAGATTGACAGCCGGGAAGATAAAGACAACGGTTTACCGTAAGGCAACAAATACCAGGCGCATCCTCCACTTCCGAAGCAACCACCCTGTTGGTCATAAACGCAGTTGTCTCAGAAGACTCTTTCAACGTGTCCAAACACACTGTAGCGACGACAGTGGGAGGAAGGAGGTGATGAATTACTTACAGGCCCTTTTTAAAGTCAACGGCTACCCGAAGTCCTTTATACGCAATTGCCTCAAAAAGCCTCATTTTGAGCAGTCGAGTGGAGGAAAATCCTAAGTTCTGCCTCTCAATGCCGTATGTAAAGAACGTATCAGAGGCAACGGCAAAAATCCTGAAACGTTTTGGGATCGGCGTGGCTCATAAACCAGAATGCACCATAAGACAGCAAATCATGAAGCCCAAAGACCCGCTACCAACAACAGAACAGTCGGCGGTCGTCTACAGCATACCATGCCTAGATTGCAATGCGAGGTATGTTGGTGAAACGGGCAAACGCCTCGGTACAAGATTGCACGAACACCAACTTGCAATCAACCGCAAGGACAAGCTGTCTTTGGTCTATGTTCACATAAGAGAACTGAACCACGATTTTGCCTTTGAGAAAGCGAGGCTAATTGGCAGAGCCAATGAGAAGATGGCCAGACTGGTGCTCGAAAGTTGGTCCTCGGCTGGTACACTCAACCGAGCTATAGATCTACATCCCGCCTACCAGGCGCTGCGTACAAGGCTCGGATCAGTCCGGACATGACCAGTAAGGCAAACGAACACGCGGGACCGAGAGTCAACGTTCACGGAAAAGAGCAGAATTGGTGACCAGAGATCATGGGACCAAAGCCGAACACTGTCTCACCGATGCGCCCGCGAAGCTGAATGCTGCTCACCTGAACAGCAACGACCAATCAGTCCACCGGCTGACGTGGGAGAGGCCAAGCGGCACGTTAATTTGACCACAATTACGCCGACCCCAAAGGGAACAAAGGACGCGCAGGCCTGCCAGCGGTCAGCTCCGGGGAGGTCTAAGCCAGTCAGCGGCAAACAGGCAGGTCAAAGTTCGTGCGTCCAGAACGGCTATAATACGAGGCAAGCGGCAAGACTGAACAACTCAAGACCAACAAGTGCAACAATTGCGCTAGTTTGATGATGAAAACGAGGAAGTTTCCGAAACGTCAGTTTAAATACAATATGGTCCATGAATCCGCCCTCTCTTCTTCTTCTTCGGGAGATGATGAACGCGATACAATGTCTGGACCTTGAATCTTTACGCATATATATATATGTAGATCAGAGTTGCTATGCACTCCGAGGCGATATAATGAAAACAGGAATAGGTTCTTCGGAAAAATCGAGTTGTACTCGTGAATTTTCGAGCTGGTAACACCAACCCGTCGTCAGACGAAATGAAAACAGGGGAGAAAGTTTGTCACACTGGACTAATTAGCGCGACAGAGCAGACAGACTATCGGCCTATGAGAGGGATGATCACAAAGTCATGGTAGGTCTCTGAGCGAGGGGGGAGGTGGAACAATTATGGATGCCTGTGCTAGAGGGGGAGGGTGTAATGGTGGATCAATTGGACTCCGGGTGGCTAAATTGGCGGCCGTTGCTGTGGCATTAGGGCGGGGGGGGCAGTAAGTCGTGAGCGTAGGCCCTCATAATGGGCATCCAGATCAACATGGCGGTTGATACTACCAGCATCGGAGTACCAAGCCTCGAGAAATTCTCTCGCCCGTTTTGTGTTAGCCATGGCGACGACCTCAGTGCCATCCCAATTGAATCGGTGGTCGCAATCGAGTGCGTGAGCAAAGACGAGGGACAGAGGGTCTCGCCGACGGACAGCCAGTTTGTGTTCATCAATACGGGTGTGCAGGCTTCGACCTGTATGACCAACCTACACGCAAGAGCAATTTGAGCACGGGATGCGATAAATTACGTTTGTTTATTGCACTTTGGGGACGGGATCCTTGATTCGAGATAGCGCTTCGCGTAGTGAGGATGCTGGTTTGTGGGCGATGCGAATACCAGAGCGATTTAACTGCCGGGCGATAACCTCGGACGCTCCTTGCATATAAGGCAGGGAGAAGAATTGTCGAGACACAGTTTTCTGTTGAGGGTGGGAGCCTGTGGTTGTGCCTGGTGTCTGAGGCAGTTCTTTACGAAACTTTTCGGATATCCGTTGGATCGAAACAACCGATACAATAGGCAAGCTTCTTCTTAAGGAGATCGTCGCTGTTGCAATAACGATAGGCCCGGTGGAACAGAGTTCAAACGCAGCTCCTTTTGTGAGCTGCGGGGTGGTTGCTTCCATAATTGAGGATAATTTCGGATTTAGATCCTTTCCTGTGGACGCTCGTCGCGAGACTACCATCGCTCAGCCTTTGTATTTTCACATCAAAAAACGGCAGGCTGTCCCGTATTGTCTCTTCACGAGTAAACTGTATGGCCGGGAAGACGTCATTCAGCCTCTGATGCAGCCGTTTAACTTCGCAGTTCTTTATCACGACAAAGGTATCGTCTACATAGCGAAGCCACGCTTTGGGGCTGAGATCTTGGAAAACCTCCTTTTCTAGTCGCTGCAATGCACGTTCTGCGAGCAGTCCAGATATTGGCGAGCCCATTGGGGTTCCCTTTACCTGTTGGTAGAACTTATTTTCGAATTGACAGTAGTTTCTAAGGCAGAGTTTGAGCAGTTCTATAATATGCAGAGTTGGAATCTCAATAGGATTCTTCTGTAAGCGTTTGGCTACGCAGTCGATTGCCAAATCGTGTGGTATGGAAGAAAATAAGGCAACGACGTCAAAGGACAGGAGGCATTCATCGGCACTTAATTCGAGTCCTTGGATCCATTGGATGAACGCAAGAGAATTGTTGATGCTGTAGTCAGATTCATGGGTTAACTGCTTCAGATGCTTGTACAACCACTTTGCTATATTGTACGTAGGTGATCCGATGAGTGGTACAATAATCCTTAGTGGGGCGTCCACTTTATGCACTTTTGGGAGACCACATGCGCGTGCGATATGGGGATCACTGAGGGTTAGCAGCTTGGAATCATCTGGACTTATAACTTTCAGACGAGTGAGCTAATTAACCTTTTTCTTGATGGCAGCGGCTTGCTTTTTCGTCGGGTCTTCGGCGAGAAGAGTGTAGGACGCTACGTCACCGAAGATTCCATTCGCCTTGTCGACGTATTCAATTCTGTCCATGGCGATAGTATATATATATAGTATATATATATGCTATATGCAAACATATATATGTATATATGTTTGCATATAGCACTCCTTCCCATTGTAAAAATTCTACATATATTCTAGGACATACATATCGCGTCAAATAAGAAGGCGGATCTTTGGACGCCAGACATCCAACACCGTTTAATTTTGGGTTCATTAAATAACACACGTGTGTAGCATTAAGCTTACGACTGATTGTGCCGGCAGGTCGGCAGATTCGGCACTGGAGAGAAAAACGCAGTAATGGCCATGTATGATTTTCATACCGTCAAACGTTATTAACTAACACCTTGTCAATGTGTCGGTATGACTGTGTGCTTTCAAACCCAATACTTCTCCTTCATATGATGTCCTAGTTTAGGTTTTTTCGGTTGAATGAATATCTTAGAAATGTTACGCTGTGTGATATTCGTCGATGGGTGCTTGATTTATTTTGATAGCGGCTAGTGATTCGGACCCCAAAATACTCTCATGTCCTGGTTTAAAGTAATTATAATTGCATTAACGAGAACATGGCTGTAGCTCAGTCAACAATATGCGCAAGGCATTCTCACGCCAAAAGCGCAAAAGAGATTTTGAAGGAAATAAAGGTTTTTGGATCAACAGGTAACCGCAAGCTTACTACACTTATTAACCAGCTCGTTTCGGATAGCAGCTTCGTTGACTACCACTATCAGATTTTAAAGTTTTTAGTTAACCAAATTCAAGAGCGTGAATGCCAGTCCAAAAGGTGCTTCAGGCAAAAAGAGAGCCAGGTATCACCCGACAACTTGCCCCTTGCTTAAATAATTTCTTACACTTTACTCTAGCTTTCACCAGGAAAAAGATTCACTACTACCTTCTAGAAGTCACATGTTTCCTAGAAATTCTCTCAGAATGCTATTTTCTTCCAAGTATTTCCCTCTTTATTAGTTCAAAATGAACTATCGTGGTCTGCACTTCAGGATTGCTCGGACGCGGATCACATAGTCCGTATTTGTGTTTGTCCAAGGCCCTTGTTAGACAGCTGAACCCACTGAATGAAAATCTGCTGAATGTCTAAAAGCCTTCACAATTTAGTCACTGAACAGTGGATAAGTTTTATACAGCAAATCCTGATCGATTACGTCAATACGGGGTTCACGAAATTGCTTTGTTTTAAATAACATTATGTTTTATACAAAGGATACTGCAGGCTTAACTATCACGCAAGTGACTGTCCAAACACATACTTTGTTATTGAGCAAAACGGTGTGCATCATCGTCATGACGGCCGAAGTGACATACATACTGCAGTCGTTATGCCTCAATAGATCTTATTGGCTATAATATCGGATCGTGGATTGCAGTAAGAATGTGATAAATCGGACCAACTTAACATTGACTTCAACGACAGTACCTGCTTATTTTTAACTTCACAACATATTCATAGTCAGTGAGTTGCAAATAATTGCGCATACATCGATATTTTAATACACGACGTCTGCTTCTAATTAGCGATCCATACAAACGGAGCACCAAATTCAAGGGCTTTATATGTATATGTACTTCGCTACCAAATATATCTAGACGATGTGCACCGTGTGCCCCACAGCGGGTTAATGCAGGCGCGTGAGTTAATTTATAGTGAACGTGGATGTACGCTCATCCGCCGTACTCTCTCTTCCTGCTCCAGCGGCACCCGATGCGAAGACAGAGGCGAGAAGACCGTAGGCACGCAAGGACGTAGGTGGATGTCATGGCCGGAGCAGCATCTCGCCTCAAACGAAAATTGCCAGGATTTTAAACCAACGATAACAATGGGGGGCGCCGCAGGTTGCACTTCGAATGTTGGGATTTTTACGTCGCACGTTCCGGCAAAGTTTGCCCTGTTCATCAACCGAATCTACCGCGTGGAAAGTTTTGTTAGCACAACCACCAAAGAACAAACACGCACACAGACATTAATTTGGATACATGCGTTGGTCTACTCCCAAAGGGATCGTGCTCATTCTTGCCCAAGTGTGACACTTGCTAACACACACATTTCTATCTAGGCATTATCTGCCATCAATAATGACGATAAACTTTCACAAGTTCGCATTTAGCAATGCACCCAATTTCGAATGCCATGCAATAATTGACTAAATGTAACTCGTTAAAAATGGCGCTTCAGAAGAGCATGTGGCGATTTGACACGAACTTTCAATAAATTATCATCGCGTCTGCAGGTTTATATGAGGACGAGGTACAAACCGAAACTTACGAATGATAAGAGCAATTGATGACGGTTCGCCCTTACATACAAACGGGGTATGTGAATGTAGTGGGTGTGGGGGGGGAGAGGAGAGGCAGTCAGTGACAGGAAGTGTTAGGTGAAGCTCTGTCCCAGGGGGAGGGAGGGGAGGGGTGAACGTGGACGCGGAGACATACAGTACCTGTGCTAACTCATGAAATGTCACGAATTAACACAGGTTAACGCATTTAACGCAAAATCGGTAAACACTACGGCTCACAAAGTCTGATAGCGGAAAATAAACGATGTGCCAAAGAAATAAAGCAAAGTTTGATTAAGAAAATATTATTTACTGAGATAAAAATAAATAATTTTCGACAAAAGTCACATTTTCGAGAAACGCCCATATTACAACCAAGTTAATAAAAGCTACGTATGAGGACGTATAAAGGAGGAGGGCGCATAAAAGGTCAAAAATAATTAAGACAGAAACAGATACAAAAAATTAGTACTTTGTAGATTGTCCATTCGAATTAATAACAGCAGAAAGTCTGTCCGACATAGACATGACAAGGTTATCTATGGTGGATTGTAAAATGTAATTATTGAGTATGAAATCCAATTTTTCCTGCATTGAAAGAGTCTTCTTAGCTTTGTGCCAATTTCTTTTGACTATTCCAAAAAGATTTTCGATAGGATTCAAATCGGGACTGTTGGCCGGGATGAAAATGGATTGGAGGCCAATTGCGGAGAGCGTGGTTGTTGTCTAAAATGTTAGATTATGTTTGCAAGCGGCATCAAATTCGTACCTCTTTAGAGCGGTGGACAGGTGCATTGTCCTGCAAAATTACAGTATCCATTCGGCGCCGACTTATGCCGTTGTAGCCGAAAGCATCCTTGACAATTGCAATGAACACCTTGCTGTTGATGGTTTCGGATGTTGACCGCCAGACAGGCCGCTCACCGAATTTAATCGCCATCCAAACCATCATCCGCCGACAGTTCTTGAATGTTGCCGTCGGTGTAGTATGTTCTCTTGGGAAGTTCTTTCAACATATGACGGTTTGGAGCGACTTCGTAGGCTTGTCTAAAAATAGAACCTCATCGCAGAAGAAAATGCTCTTCCAAAATGAAGATCTGTATTCAATATAATTCTTAGCAAATAAAAGCCGTTCTCTAATTAGTTTTCTACTTAAATATGGCTTAATCATGGCCTTCCGCCGCTGCAGTTCAAATTCCTTCATCCTTTTTCTAATGATGTTCATAGAAAACATCGGCAGATGTTCCCGCGGAATGGCCTCAATGGGCATGTAATGAAACTTTTTTTAATGTACGACGAATAAAATCGTCGTCTTGCTTACTTGTGGACCGTTTTGGTCCCCCTATCTTATTTCTAGGAACAGTTTTATCGTAAATAATGCGCCACAGAGTGACCTTGATAATATTGAAAATACTAGCTAACGACTCACGCGGGATTCCCTCAGCCGCTAATTTTCGAATGCGCTGGAAGTCAACTTCGGATATGTATTGTCTAGACATAGTTATTGTTTGGCGTGGCAGAGCAAAGTGACGGCATGTCGCGCGAACTCAATATATATTCGTTTACGACACGCATTTTCAGTCTGGTAAAACAATCACACTGATAAACTTTTTTATTTCGGTATTTTGAAACATAAAACTTTACGAATTTGTAAAGTAGAATTTTTAGATAAAGAATCGCACGTTATTTCCTGAACACAATAAGAAATAATTTATCTGCATTTCCCTGATTTTGTTGATATTGAAATTTAATTTTTTCTTTTTGTTCGAAAGTTTATCAAAAAATTTCATCCTTTTATTAATCTTCTTAAACAAATTAATAAGGTTACACAAAGAATTTCCATCCGAAAGCTTTAATAGTGTAGGAAACTGCTTGAATATCAGGAATCCTCCGATTTTGCCTTAATCCGGCCCGTTTTCTATTTAATATACAGATCCGTATCAAACTTTCCTTCAGAAAACGGTCTTTTCGTCCTTGTTTCAAGCAAATAAACACAAATAACGACACCAAAAATACACTACATTGTCCACTATAATTTTGACCTCGGCATTTCATGAGTTAGCACAGGTACTGTACATGCAGCTAATCGACCCTTGGCCACGATAGACGCACAGCGTGCAAAAGGTTCTTCTGCGCTCACAGGGCCGGCCTCTGAAGCCTGACGGTAGTTGCCTCTGCTGTTGCTAATATGCGCTGGCCTAGTCACTTAGAGTAGATATGTGGGACCTTGTAAATCACACGGAAGACTTCGTTTGGATCCACGAGGATGGAGCTGCCTACGCTCTTAACTTCATCCTTCCTCAGACATGCCGGTAGATGTCCACGTTTTCTTACGCATAGGCACCGACTCGTACGGCCAATATATCCTTACAAGCTCAGCGTCTACCGTGGGTAAGGATGGGTTAACTGTATGCATGTCTGCAAGGCCCCACCTCCTTCCCCCCCCCTTCAGACGAGGCTCAACCCAACCCTCACAGTCACTGACTGCCTCCTCCCTCCAACCCACTCTATTCACATGCCCCGTTTGTACGAAAGGCAGAATGCAATCGATTACACTTATCACCCACACTTTTCAGTTTTTATCCTGTCCCCATATAAATATACAGGTCCGATAATAATTTATCGAAAGCATGCGTGAGCTTGCAAAGTTTTTATGTGGACCACTCTAGAAGACCAATTACAACCTTAAAAATAAGAGTGTTTAAAGCTCGTGAACGAGTGAAAACTACATTATAT